CCCCTCGGCCTCAACGGTCGCCGCGCGGCGAGCTCAGCCCGGCGCTTCCGATTGGCTGCGCTCCCCGCTCGCGGCCCCTCCCCCCGCGCTTCCCCGCCTTGAGGCCACCTCAGCGCCACAAGAGCCCCTGGGCCTGGGCTCCCCTCAGCGCTCTCTGGGCCTCGCCACCGCCCCCCCGGCAGTGCGGTGCACCTCATGTCACCTCCGCCTCATGTAGCCCCCTGGCCTGGGCTCCCCTCAGCGCCACCTCCACCATCACAGAAACACCCTGGGCCTAGACTCTCCTCAGTGCCTCACCTCAACGCCAGAGAAAGCCCCCCCGGGGCCTTGCCACTGCCCCGCGACACCGCGGTGCGCCTCATGTCACCTCCGCCGTCATAGAAACACCCTCACGCACCTGCTCGACTTGCTGCAAGAATCACCTCACGCCTGCTCAGCCACCAGCTTCACCCCCGTAATTCAAACCTCCGGCACGGAAAACGCCATCTGAGCCAGGCTTGGGCCCTCTACATAGGAATCAAGCGGACCTCTTATTTTGGAAAGTGCCCGAAGACTTCTCTTTTCTAGGCCAGGTGGTCCCGTATCTGTCGGCCTTTCTTCATCTGGCTTGCTCTTCAGGGCTCTGGTCGTACGAGTGGCTCTTCTCCGGACTCTCTGGAGGCTCTCCACGTCCTTCTTGAAGTGCGGCGTCCACAACTGGACGCCGTACTCCTGTGGCAGCCTCGCCGATGCCAGGTAGAGCGGGAGAATACAGGCCGTCCTTGAACTTGCGACACAATCGGTTCCTGAAAACCGCGTCTTAAGTCGAAACGTTGTAACTCGGAACCAATTTTCTCATAAGAAACAACATTATAAATGGGGGATTGGTTCCTGAACCAAGGCCCGATACCCTGTTTTCACCAGAAATACCCCAGAATTTTGTACTCGATCAATTATAGATGAGTAATATAGCTACATTAATATATTTATATTGTAAATAGCAATCATTGATTTGGAAGGACTTTCTTGAGGTGACTTTGCTGGACTTTTTGAAGGGCTCTTGGCTGGAGTCTTCTCAGGAGTCCTGGCTGCGGGTTTTTCTGGAGTCCTGTCTGCTTTCCTAAAGAAAGTGTCCAAGGAAGTTTGGACAGATGTTCTCCAGGGAGACGAGTGACACAGCAACTTGCTCGCTGGCGTGGCGTCGCATTGGATCAAGCATTTTAAGTCGAAACTGGCATTGTAAAGTTGAAACAAGGAGTCAATTTATAAATGTTGTAAGTGTGAAATGTTGTAACTCAAAATGTTGTAAGTCAAGGACTGCCTGTAACTTCCTGCAGCTTATAAATATATATATCAGGGGAGAGCATCAGGGGCAAGGCAAACGACTGCTCACCAATACTCACCGGGGGAAAACCAGGAGCAACAGTCATACCTTTCTAGAAGAAAGTTTCAGGCTGAATAGAAGGAAAAACTTCACGGTTTGTGAGAGCAGACTCCCAGCCGGGGTGGTGCAAGCACCTACCACGGAGATGTTCAAAAGGAGACTGGACACCCACCTTGCTGGGGTCACTGGCGACACATGGGGGTGCATGCGGGTGCACGTGCACCCCCTGAGATTGGCAGGGTATCCCCTACGACAAGCACTGCTGGTGGCACCTGCAGGCAGTCTCTGCTCGCCATCCCCTCCCTCACTGCCAACACCACCAGCGGCGCTTGCGGGTGGCCACCGACTGCTGGTCGGTGCTTACCGCTGCTAACACCACCACGGCTGCTTGCAGGAGCTCTTTGCTCAGCCTGCCCCTGCCACCAACAGCACTGCGGCTGCCTGTGGGCACGCA